CCAGCATGACCAGAATGCAGGATGCAGAAGGCAGGAGGGGGCCAGGCACTAGGTGAGGCTGGAGCAGTAGAGAAAGGCCAGCCCCAGTAGGGTTTGTACGCCATAAGGAGTTCGGCTTTACACAAAGAGCTTTAAGTAGAGGAGTGACATGATCAGATTTTCACTTTTATGAGATTGATTTGGCTGCTCTGTGGAGAATGGGTACAGAGGAGCAAGACTGAATGTGGGTGATCAGCCAAGAAAGTATTAGCGGCCCAGGCAGAACACAATGAGAACTGGGACTAAGACGACTAGAGTGACAGTGGAAGTAGAAAGATATTTAGAAAATAAACTGACAGGGCTCAGTGACTGGCTATCCTCAAAGAGGTATTTCGAACAACTTCCAGGATTTGAGCAGTTGGGTATATGCTGACACCCTGCACCAAACATACAGTGTGCTAATGGAAGACCCGTGGGGAGGGGCAGGCTCTTCATTTCGTTCTGGACATTTTGAGTTTGAAAAGCCTATAACACATCCAGATGGAAATATCAAAACGGAACCTGGTAATACCTAAATCCAGCAGGTATTCTCATATTTTTAATTGTTCATATTGTTTCCTTAACAATTAGCATATCCTGTCTGAATCAGAGCTGATCTGAGTAAGTCTGTCTCTTCCTAAAGGTTAACTCCTAGAGAACTCAAACCACATCTCAATTGCCATGGCATCCCATATACAGCAACTGCCCCTCCTACCCCCATCCCGCACCACTTGCCTGAATGCTGCTGCATGTGGTCAAACCTCCGCTCCCAGTCTACCTGGACCAGGACCTGGCTCCCAGGGGCCAAGGGTGTCTGTGTGAAATGATCAGCCTGGGCCCCTCGGCGGGTCACTCTCAGCACAGAGATGTCATTGATTGTACCACGGTCATCAGGCTAGGGGAAAGAAGTAAAGATAATCAATGGTGAGGCAGGGCACCCTAACTCCTGAAAACTAAGACATGCTGGGGAGTGTGTGTGACAGACCCAGAATTTGAGCTCCCTAAGGAAGAAGGATGAGGCAATGCCTTTGTTCTACAAGAAGATTCTCTGTCCTTTTTACTCTAAACACCTATATATTTTGATCTTCAGAACAGAATATCAGAATCAAAACAGAAAGAGATTGTAACTACAGCAATGAATATTTTAGTAAGACCCAAAGGAAACTCAATCCTCATTCTCATTGCCTTAATTTAGATTCTTATTTTTAATAGCGTGTAAAATGATCTGAATTTTCCTCCCTCCATTGCATCTTCTACACTGCTGCCAGAATTAGATTCAAAAATGTTCATTCACTTTAAAAAGTATCAAGTGCCAACTGCTTACAAGACATAGTGCCAGCTCAAGAATACAATGTAAATAAGACATGGCCCCTCTTGGAACTCAAGACTCTGAAGAACAGAGACTGGAAAACAGGCATTTACAATATGACCTACAACATTCCATAATATGAAAAAGTATATGGTGCTAGAGAACCTCAAAGGAAAGAGACTTAAGAGTCTTACAGGACCAGAGAAGACTTCCTGAAAGAATTAATGTCTAATTCACTTTTTAAAGTGAAGGAACAGGTTTGGACCTAATCCTTCTATGGATACCTGAAGTTACAAGTTTTCCTTCAGCAGATCAGGATACCTCCATGAGGAGAAAAATCACTGTAATGACACTGATATGAAATTGAAACTTTCTCACTAACAAAACTACTGAACACATTCTCTTATGTCACTTCTTTGCCAATGAACCTGCACAATTCACCAGTTTGTTTGTTTGTTTCGAGACAAAGTCTCACTTTGACAACCTTGGTAGAGTGTCATGGTATCATAGCTCACAGCAAACTTAAACTTGGGCTCAAGAGATCCTCTTGTCTCAGCCTCCCAAGTAGCTGGGACTACAAGCACCTGCCACAACACCCAGATATTTTTAGAGACCAGGTCTCACTCTTGCTCAGGCTAGTCTTGATCAAACCCATGAGCTCAGGAGATCCACCCGCCTCAGCCTCCCAGAGTGCTAGGATTATAGGCATGAGCCACCACACCCAGCTCCTCACCAGTTTCTTGAATGACGTGCACACACCTTCATACACCTTTCAAGGCCCTCTGAACTGGCCCCAATTACCTTTCCAAGGTCATCTGTCATCAACATGCACCACAAGCTCCAACTATATCAGACTATTTACAACTAAACTCGTCAAATTCTCTCAGGCTTCCCTATCTTTGTGTTATTGTCTGTGCTAAAAAAGCCTTGCTTGAGGCCAGGCTCAGTGGCTTACACCTGTAATCCTAGCACTGTGGGAAGCCAAGTCAGATG